ACATTGGCGCCGCAACTCTAAGCAGAAGACTAGTTCGAAGGACCATCGGGTGACAGTTAACCGTCCAATTGTTTAAACAATTGTTTGGAGAACCCCACATTTAACCGAGGTCAAAAAAGCAACAAAATAATCGTGGTAACATGACGATAAAGGCAAATTTAAAAGCGCCTCTGGCTAGCAAACGATGGTTACCATCAGTGGATCGAATTTAAGCCAAGATAAACTTTAAGGGCGGTAAGAGGCCAACACGCGAGTCCCTTAACGTAAGTGCGCGGGGAGTACTACCTAATTTAAACTAATCTATCAGAATGTTGGGATTTTGATTTAAAGGCTGGCTATATAAATATTCAGTCTACTGGGGTACTAAAAAAGGCCTGATAATTTTCTGGCAGAAGTTCTTAGGCTGGAAAACTCAAAGGGGACATTTATCGTTCTCCAGAAATACGAATGTGTTGCCAGGGCTAGGTAGTAAGCATGGGTATCAACATCAAACTGCCTGAAACGATTTGTAAAGGTTTATATACGAATAGAAGCGAAAAGCAAAAGATGGACATTAACAGTTAACCGAAAAACAAAGCGTTCAGGATGACAAATGGGGTAAAGCTAAAAAGCGAAAAGTTTGATGTCCACAAAAGAAGCATACCCCTCCTTCGATCAATAAACTGAACAAAAAAGTCAAGTGTGCAGGAGAAACCGAGCAACGCAATTAGAAACCACGATCCAAGAGAAATTTCCTGCAAAAACTGAGCATATGTACGGAACTTGAATCCATATTCCGGGCTCTGCGGATAAGCGACGCGCCTACTCTTCCAGCTGTTTCCTAATCCCTGCTTTAAAAAAAATTTCATTGAGGTGACACGTTATTTTTCCCTTTAAACCGTTTTGATACATCGAAAGGATGGCATTCGATAAGTCCGAAACCGTTTTGTTCACATTTATTTTCCAAATGTAGTCCGTAAACAAAATACTGAAGAGAGTTCTCTTTTATGCCCGTCTTTCTTGTTTTGCTTTGGATTGTGAAACATCTCTAGCAGTTCAGCTTCAGAAGACATCTGTGCAAGCATCTGTATAGGCAGGCAAGCCCTCCCCGGCGGGTACCTTTGCCGTTTTTTGCATTTTAACGCTTGCCAAACGCTGATGTTATCTGTAGCCATGACTTCCCTACGGTCCAGTTCTGTCTTGCTACCATTAGCTTAGATCAGCGGCTGCTAGCAGTCTTTACATTTTCTCGGTCCAATGCTAACTCATTCACCGGAATAAACGCGCAGGACGTCAAAGCATGTGTCAGAAGACGGTTGGAATAACTCCGATATTTTTGTGATTAAACTAGCAGTGAATCGATAAAACCCAAGGAATACTAACAATGATGTTCGAGATGATCAGGCGAGCAGTCTCGCAAATGACACCAGCACGTGGTGGACAGTTTAAAAGCAAACGACGACAGTTCGACCCTCATGACCGAGGATGCCCACTGCGTGCTCCACAGCAGCGTGAGAGTAGGCACGTTGACTTGTGCGTGAATTAGTTCAAACTGTTAGTAGACTTGCACAGCATCCGCCACAATCTCTCCTTTGCCTGAGCCGGTGTTGATACCAAGTCAAGAAGGCCGGAGGTAGAAGAGGCCTCAGGTGGTGGGCGCGGCCGCATCCGCGTCAAGGCATACCACCACATACCTGGCCCGCAACCAGCACTTGGACAGTATTTTGGCCAACAATAAAAATATGCGGAGAGACAGGGATCTCACTGTGCGCGACATGGACCGGCTACCGCACCCAGAATGCGTGCATATGTTCTGATGCGCATTTCGACAAAACCTGCCAGAATCCGGTCTAGCCCCGCGTCGATCCAGCACATCTATAGCGTCGCCCGTTTTAGGGAAAATGAAACCAAACGACAATCAGGAGCAATGAACGAAGAACGACGGGGATGGACGAGATGGGATGCAAAGATAGAGGAAACGTTGCCTGGATGATGGCTAAATGTTAATATACATTTGATGGCAAATAAAACAAAAATCTAAACATTGGCATGCGGGACACGAAAAGGACCTTGAGTGCTTAAGAACTCAACGACGGGTAGTTCGCTTCTAATTGGTACTGACACTGGCTTCTCTTAGCATGTACATAGATATCGAGGTTTGTCTGTCGATAAGCTATTTATTGGGGCTAATTACCTGATTCCTATCGCAAAGTTAATTTATTTTTACCACGCAATTCAGTTTTTCATGGCACCCCCGTGACTTATGTTCTCTTAAATGGTAATCTCCCTTCCAAATGTTTCTCTCCCTCCTGTCTGGCAAATTTGATTTACAAAACACTGGATACTCGAAGTGAAGGTCCAAGTGGTCACTCGGTCCATCCCATAGATGAGGCACGTTTTCCTCCTCCCGGATAAGGATAAAGTAAGGAAATTTCGGCTATTGTTCTCCCCTTGTCAGTGTGTCTAAAGTAACATTCTGACACAGAAAGGTATTTCTTGTCCATTGTGGCATTTTTGATTAGTGTTGTCTGATAGAACTTGTGCGGTACCTGCTTGCTGGTTTACAGCAGGGGCATTAAAATCGCCAGTAATTCGGACCTCTTTCTTCTCTCTGGGTTTTTAAACTTCGGTTATGAGGAGGAGATCATTGCCAGATTATGAATAGACGAAAAATTCATTAACAGTGTCTTTCGTTTACTTACTTTCAAACACTGTAATGACGCCATAAACGAGAAAGTTGTTAGATTAACAAGGTCCTCATGCTCCTCACCATTCGAATTGGCTCCCAATCAAAAAGGTTTCCTACGGGACGGAGCCTTCGAACCACACACTAACATTGGAATTTAGGTGCGACCGGGCAGACCGTCTGCTTAGTCGGTCAGGTCTGTGCCTATCTGCATCAAACCTGATAGCTCTCCGGAGGTTGACATGGTCAGCTAGCTTGATGGCGCTGCAACCCAGATTGTCGACACGTCCTTTGGTGTAAACGAGGAAAAGAAACGGTCAGCGGGCAGAGTTCTGATAATATCAAGTGAAATAGAGCAAGGCGTTGACCTTGACGCATCAGTGCATACGGTTCACGATCTGTATGTGAGAAATTCTGTGATACACATCAGAAGCTTGCCTCTTGTGAATTAGACATTTGTGTAAACGCTATCGAACGCCTATCTTTTATCTGTGTAGTTGATATCAGTCCTGCCGTCCCCCTTCCTCCACCTCCTCTTGCTCCTCCTCGAGTGCACTTACCCACTCTTCAACCGACAACAACAAACTGGAAAGGCCAGAACGGTTCCGGTCAATGCCGTGTTGGAACCTTGAATGCAGGTAATTCTCCCCCAGTAACTTCAATGTCGAATACTCAAGTGTGATTTCCATTACATTACAACAGATGCTGGTTTGGCTGAGGGAAGGATAACCGCTCACTTGTCTTCGAGACGTGGCTCCATTTATATCGTATAAAGATTTACTGTCTTCCATTCCAATGTCAGTCTCTCATACTCAAAGGATGAGCGAAAGACATGCACGGATGGCATGGAGAGTTCGCTCGCCAATTTCTTCAAAAACTTCAACGCACCAGGAACAAACTGGAATGCCCTCCAAGCGTCAGGTCCAAAATCGGCATTCGATTACCGCCTGCTGAGCAAGACATTAAATGCGTGCCTCACACAACATGTAATGTTCCCAACGAGAACACGTGAAGGACAAAGGGCAAACTGTCTGGATCTGGTCTTTACGAAAACACCAGACAGCATAGACGAAATCGCCTCCATGCCGCCCCTTGGCCGAAGTGATACGTAGTGCTTATGTGGGATTATTCGTTATTCTCCATTTCACACACTCCAGGCCACAAAAGGCGTAATGTTTGGCGGGGCGATTTCAATCAGATGAGGGCAGACTTATCCGGTCTTGACTGGGGCTCTTTGTTTACGGGAAGTGCCAACGATGACTGGGAGCTGTTCAAGAATGTCCTTCTGCAGCTCATCAACAACCACTGCCCACTGACTAGTGTAAGACTGAACAAACGCCCTGGGTGGCTAAATAGCAACCTCAAGAAAGAAATCAACTGGAAGCACAAATTGTGGAGAAAATACTGCGTCACTAGACAAGCTGAATGCTTCAACACCTACAAGACACAGAGGAACAAACTGAGGAAACTGATAATTCAGACGCGGCGGGAATTCGAGAAGAACTTGCTACAAAAAGCAACGCAGAACTCAAAATTGCTCTACAGCTACCTCCGACGAAGTACAAGGAACAGGCATCAAATCCCCTTGATAAAGACTACTGATGGCGTTGAGATCGCTGATAGTAGGGATAAAGCTGCGTATTTTTCACGGTTTTTCCAATCAGTCTATACAAACGAGGCAAGGTTCCTTCCTCCCTCCACAGAAGAACTGCCGACTCCAAGCGTCAGTGATATACTCTTATCCGAAGGCATTGTCCGAAGAGAATTAGAGGCATTGAACGAATCGCAGTCGCCAGGACCAGACGAGATTCCATCCAAGCTTCTGAAGGAACTTGCCCGTGAGCTCTCTGTGCCTTTGTCGATGCTCTTTCAAACGTCATTTGACACTGGAACACTTCCTGTCGATTGGAAGCTGGCGCATATTACTCCTCTACACAAAGGAGGTAACAGGGCAGCGACGACAAATTATCGGCCCATAAGCTTGACATGCATTCTCTGCAAAGTTATGGAAAGGATCATAAAGTGTGAACTAATGCAATTCCTGGAAGTTCACGGCCTGCTATCAAAATGCCAACATGGGTTCCGAAAAGGAAGATCCTGAACGACAAACCTGCTGCAATCTCTCCAGAGCTGGACCCAAGCTCTCGACGACAGGCACGCGGTCCACATAGCCTTCATCGACTTCCAGAAGGCTTTCGACACTGTGCCACACCAAAGGCTCTTACATAAGCTGAAAAAAATAGGGATCGGTGGCAACTTCCATAAATGGATCGAAAACTTCCTTGTGGGTCGACAGCAGGTTGTGTGCGTCGGTCGGGGAAAATCAGATCCGGCTATGGTCGAAAGTGGTGTCCCCCAGGGTTCAGTACTGGGACCCATTTTGTTCCTTATCTACGTGGACGATGCCGCAAGAGATTTGGACTGTGAAGTAGCAATGTTTGCGGACGACATGAAGATATGGAGTGTAATTCGTGGTCCTGCCGATGAAGACAGACTGCAGATGAACCTGAATCGGTTGGAGGAGTGGTCAAACCGTTGGCTTCTGCGGTTCAACGTTGCCAAATGTAGCATACTTCGCCTAGGCAACACAGCCAGATCCGCCAGCACAAGAGGCTACTTTCTGGGCGGTGCAGCCCTACAAGAGGTCGAAGCCCAGAAGGACCTCGGTGTGCTTACGACGAGTTCCCTAAAACCATCCGCCCACTGTTCGAGGGTGGCAAAAACCGCAATGTCCGTACTGTACGCCATTAAGCGTGCGTTTATGGACTTTGACGAAGAAGCCTTCTCTAAGACATTCGGAACATTCGTCCGGCCGCATTTAGAGTACGGCATACAAGCTTGGAGGCCGTGGGCTGTTGTGGATCAAAACTGCCTCGAAAGAGTCCAGAGGAGAGCCACGAAGATGGTTAGGGGTCAAAGCTCCTTTCCTTATGCGACCCGCCTAGTAAATCTGAAACTCTTTCCTTTGAGTTACAGGCAACTTCGCGGAGATCTCTTGCAAGCCTTCCGCATTGTAAAGGGGTTGGATTGCAGTCTGGCCTTGGAGGACTTTTTTGAATTCGCTACCACGACCAACCTCCGAGGTCACCCGTTAAAACTGCGCACTCAGCAGGCACGGCTGGATGTGCGGAAGTTCTCCTTCTCGGTTCGGGTGGTCAAACCGTGGAATGAGCTTCCCGCAGATGTTGTGATGTCACCATTCATACAAACTTTTAAAAAGAATCTGGACATATTTATGTTCCGAAATGACCAAGAGCGATGAGAAGTCGAGCTCACCCCCTGTAACTCCTTCTCATTTTGTCCCACCATTATGGGCGTGTTCGAACTATTTCAGCCCAGAACATCTATCTGTACACCACACATTTTTTACGTTGCAAATAGGGTACTCAAAGGCTTACGCCTATTTCCCTCAATAAACTGAACTGAACTGAACTGAACTGTATACTATCCGAACTCGAAAATGCATGCTCATTGAGAATTTGCGGCGCTTCTCCGCGACAGCTGCTGCAATGAATATTGATTCAAACGGTGGGTCGACTTTTACAACAGGATTGTTACAAGTGCGAGCACGAAAATTCAGCTCCCTGGTAAATATGTAAACAAAGAACTGTTTCAGGCCTTCAAGTTTCCGGTCATTTTTAAAGAATTCTCCGCCACTCCTAAATTCTGAAAGATGGTCTTTGTTTTTAAGTGCCTGTTGATAAAATAGAATAAAATCTCATTGGTCTGCTGAATGATTTTGGATATACAGCCCTTCCCTATCCAACGTATCCATGTTTTCACAACATCTTTTTATGATGAAATTCTTCGGGGTTGCGTGGTAGGTCGGTTTCCCTAAATTTCTCCCATTGCCTATTTTTCTTCCGTAACTGTCGACCAAGATCACTTTTTAAACTGGCAGAGCGGCTAGTTATTTTAACTTCCCTGGAAAACAAGACCAAAGCAGACCCAGTGAACTCTTTCTAAACGATCCTATCCACTTTCTGAGTCTCCACGAGCAACACCCCGATTTGGTGGACAACAACACAATTCTGATCATGCTAAAATCTGCTTTATTTATATTCCGCTGACACTCAGAATTCAGCGAATTATCCCATTATAGCGTGCTATGATCGGACGTCCTGATTGGTGTACTACAACACACTTCGTCAACGTGGGAGTAATCTTAGCTGAAGACTAGAATCGGATAACTGGTTCTCTGGTTCACTTCAAATCTCGCTCATTCTCTATATTTTGTTCCAAAGCAGGTTACGTGTGAGGTCTACTCGCTTGGAGTCGACGGAACTATCAAAAAAAGTAACTCCTTTTGGCTTGTCGTTTTTTGTCCAAGTGGGGGAACGACTCAGTAGTGCACTGGCTTATTTGATGACCTGTAAACTGTCCGTAATTCCAAATTGTCCGCATTTATCTTCTTTATCCTTATCCGGACGAGCTCACATTCGATACGCAGGGTGTGCGTTCATTCAACCGATGAAATTTATGACCATAGATACGCAAGTTCAATCCTTTTTTCTAATACATCCAATTCAGACCGATGACGCAACGCATTGCTTAATGACAGTTAAGTCAATTTATTAAGGGGAGGAGGCTTTCGCCCTTTACCTCCCTATTCATATCCAAAACAGCAATGGAATTAATTGCTACGCCAGCAATTCTAGAAAGTCAGGAGTCATCAGTGTGCGTGAGCTAGGCGCAAACTGCCGCCGCAGACACAGGTGTGATTATATGTAGAGCAATTTCCCAGCAAATAGGCGTTTAGTCTGCGTTTAAGGAATTCAGCAGTTACGGAAAGAATCCTCACATCAGGTAGTTCGTTCTAGGCCCTAATGAACCCTGCAAGAAGGCCTTCCCGTGTTCAAAGGAGACTGACAGTGCCCACGAGGTGCTATAATAAAACTATTCTGTTCTCTTCTAAGGGCCAGCGTTCTCTACAGTTTAAGGGAATGACCACGCAAACGATCCGTCTCAGCCCATTCAAAGAATTCATCAAAGTTTGGGACACACTCAAGGCCTCCGACCATCCGGTAGGTTTGAATGAGGTCGTCGAGCAGTTGCCTGAGACTGAAAGAAACAGACTTCTCTGATCCAATCTTGTAACGTAAATCAGATGATCAAGACTCTTCAACATCTTCGTACACATCGCCAGAACTCTTTCCATTTGCTGATAATCCCTCCTTAACCACGGTCGCCGGGCCTGGACGGCATACTCTCAGTGAGACCGGAAGAATCCTCCCGTAGGTTTTTCCAAATAGCCACTTATCGCTCTGCACAAATTCTCACCTCAGCGCAAGTCGCATCCGTACCGCGCGTTTGGCTGTCCTGTGACACTATGACGATGGTTTAGGTGAGGAAATCATTATGACGTCAAGGTTCTTCTGTTCCTCAGCATCTTAAAGGGGTGCCCATTAAGGAGGTATCGAAAGGAATCATTCTCCCTACTGTCCCTACTGATGCGGAGTCTCCGGATCGAACATTTGTCCACATTAAAGTTTAGAAGCCAACGAAATGACCAACTACTCAGTCGGCTGACACTCTCTTGGAGCGCGTGCCTGTCTGCGTCCGATCTGATGACTTTCTACAATTTAACATCGTCAGTAAACATGGCAGCGCTGCATTCCAAGTCTTCGACACAGTCGTTAATGTAAGCTAGGAATATCAACGGCCCAAGACTGAGCTCTGGAGGACACCACTCAGAAGGGGGAGGTCAGTTGACTTCAAGACATTGACACGCACGGTTCCTGATCTCCCTGTAAGAAAATAAGTGATCCATGCCAGCAGTTTCTCCTTATTTCAATTTCAGACAGTTTGTGGACTAGGTTTCGACCTCAAGCGGTCGGTTGATGATCATAGCGGGATCGTCTGTTTTCGACATCTGCTGGTGGTTTCATTGGTCAGAAAGGAAATGTCACGGTAACATCCCCCGTACGTTTTATTGGCCGCCTCAGCCTTTGATGTCCCCTACTCGGCTGGACTCTAGGCGGACTGTGGCCTATCGCGTCTAGCTTCCTCTCGTCCCGCCGCCTTGACGGTTGCCCCCTTTGTCACTGCAAACTATTATAATCATATCTGCTACAAATAATCTCTACGAGCTTAGAAATTCCACCTTGACGATGTCTGTTTTGGACCCTTATAATTTACTATTAAACAGGACGGTCCTGTCCGATCCGCATATTCACCTTTCCATGAAGGACAGTTTTTGTCCTTCAAAAATGCTCAAATCACATTCATTTTTGCCTATTTACTTTAATTTAATTTATTAAATGCCAGTTTACAAGCATTGTCAAGGGAAGCGATTAAACACAAATCCGACCAGCAGTAAAAAAAAACTCCTGAAGAATAAAAATATAGTTGATGTTGGTTTCCATGGTTTGAAGCGTTCAGGAGGTAATCCGCTGTTTGCTAACCGTTTTGCATACAAGGCTGCCTATCTTATAAGGTCAAGGTCAAGGTCAAGGTGCGCAGCTCAATTTCAAAGATAAACGAAGCTTTGCATTTATCTGGATATTCTTAAGCAATTAATGCCTGTTTTTTACTTGAGTCCCTTTTAAAAGTCACCTTTCAATATAAGGTAATATTTTTCCCTGTTTTGTTTGACAGTCTGGCAAAATAGTCGTATTTTGTAAAAAAATCTTTGTAGTGACTCCTTTCCCTACTATCTCTTGCTTTTCGTAGTTAAATAACAATAGTACTTGCTATTCAGTACGCCTTTCCGTACATTGGCAAAGTTTTGATCCTTCATCAGGAGAAAAATGTTTTCCTCCACAATCGGCGAACAGTGCCTCAAATACCCCGACTCAAAACGTACCGTGTTCCCAACTGCCCCCCAGCACTCATATCGAGGCAGTTAGGCCGAATATGCCGATTTTCCCATCGTTTAATAGGCCTCTTGTTCCAATGGAAACAATGCGTCCCCCACCCCCTAACCTGTTTCAATCACGGCCGTTTTATCAATCTATTCGTCATCCTAATGTCCATACTGGACCAGTTAACTCATCCGATCTTCAGTTTCGTTCCGGCGGGAATGTGTTGCAGTATCTGCCCCGCGGATTTCCAGCTGAAAATAAGTTAGCTGACATTAGTTACCAGTTTACCCGCCCGTCATTCCGTCCCCCAAGTCCTACCCCTTTTTATCCACGTCAGAATTTTTTGATGCCACAAACGTTTTTGCAAAACCGGACGGTTGCATCCGGACAGTTTGCTCCGTGGGCAGCCCAGAACTGGACGATGTAGCTCACCTCCCTAAAAAACTAACAGCCGTTACTTCAAACTTTTTGTTTTAAATGCCAGATCCTTGCTTAATAAGATGCCTTTGCTTCAGACTCAGGTGTTCGTCCATTGTCTTGATATTGTTTTAGTAACTGAGATGTGGGCATTAGCCTCAGTAGCTGACTCCGAACTCTCTCTTCAAGGCTACAATTGCATTCGAAATACTCGCCAAAATAGCCGTGGTGGTGGCAGCTGCGTCTACGTTAAGAAAACACTTACATTTTTGCCGGTGGACCTCCCGCACTTTTCAGCAGTAGAAGGCAGCTGCTGGCTCCAGGTTGTACTAAAAAATAAGTTCTCCTTACTCGTTGGCTGCGTCTATCGCCCTCCCAACGCCAACGACAATTTTGATCGTTTACTCTCACAGGCATTTCATGCTGCGGCCGACTGAAGCTTTAAGTATCAATTGGTTGCGGGTGACTTTAATCTTTCTGAAGTCCGCTGGTCTCCGCTTCAGGCCCCAGAAGGTTCGATGACTTTCTTGAGGCTGTGGATGTTAGGGATGTGGAATCAGGTTGTCGATTTTCCCACCCGAGGCTCAAGTATACTTGACCTAATTTTCTGTAGAGGCTGCTTGCCATCGTCAGTGTCATCCATAGGCCCACTCGGGGGCTCAGACCATGACATAGTTGTTTCAACGTTGGAATTCGAGGCTGACAAAACGTTGTTCCAAAGTATAACTTTTTCCGCGATTTCCGATTAACTCGCTCAAGCGAATTATTAAAACACCTTAATTCCTACGACTGGACTGAGTTCTTCCTTAGTTCGGATGTAAATGTTTGTACTGCAAAACTGTACGAAATGTTGGGTCCGCTTATTTCTCGTTGTGTCCTCCGTAGGAAAATTATTAATGTTGGGGATGAGGTTTTCCTACCCTTACCCTTTCGTCGCAGATTGCGCAGGCAGTATCGTCGATTCCATCTGCAGAACGATGTTTCTGTTCTGCCCTTGATTTGTGATATTTTTGATCGAGCTAAGAGATTGTCTGAAGAAAAACAGCTAGCCGAAGAGGTCCACTTTACCGGAAACCATTCGTTAAATGTCTCGAAACTTTTCTCTAGAAAAATACGAACTCAGAGAAAGACACACTATCCCATCCTTCGAGACGCTCTCGGAAATCCCATAGTCCATGCCCAGTTAACCGCTGATAGCCTCAATGATTTCCTGTCCAAAACGTTTATTGAAGACTCGACCACTCCGCTTCCCACCAGCCAGGCATTGACCGGGACAGTCCTAGAAACTATAACTTTCACTCTGTGGGATGTGACTGTTGCGATTCGGCGTTTTCGTCAATCCTATAGTCCAGGACCTGATGGTGTCCCTGTAAGCATTTTAAAAGCCGATGCAAACACGATCTTCCCATCCCTCTTATGCAAGATATTTAAACTCGCTCTTGAAAGTGAAATTTATACTACATTGTGGAAGGAATTACACATTTTGCCCATTCATAAGCACGGCAAATCTACATCATTTGATGACTTTCGGCCGATAAACGCCCTCCCCGCAGTTTCGAAGATCTTAGAGACATTGATCAAAGATAAGATGATGTGTCACTTAACAGAGAATAACATACTGAGTGCTGCTCAGCATGGATTCCTCAAAGCTCGATCTTGTGACACCTGTCAACTCACTTTCTTTGACTATGTTCTCCAATCTAGGGACAATAGTTTTGCACTTTACACAGTATATTCTGATTTCACTAAGGCTTTTGATTGTGTTGACTATGCTCTTCTTCTCTTGAAACTGTGCTCTCTCGAAATAGGTGGCAAACTTTCAAACTTTATACCCTCTTACCTGGACACTCGTACACAACGAGTTAAGATTTCCAATACTATCTACAACCCCACACGTGTAAGGAGTGGAGTCATTCAGGGTAGTGTACTCGGCCCACTTCTCTTTTGCCCTTTCATTAATGATGTGCCCGATTTATTTCAGAATGGTGAGCCTTTCATGTATGCCGATGATCATAAAGTTACATATCGATATACGCCGGCAGATCGTGACATGGTGCTTCATCTCCTAAAGATCGACCTACAGGCTTTTGCCCAACGGTGCCGCACATGGCACCTTTCTCTTTCTAGGCATAAGTGCTCAGTCATGGTGGTTGGCGACGACCGCCAACCTCAACTAAGTATTGATGGTCACGCCATAAATGTGCCTGGGGTAATTAAGGATCTGGACGTATCATACTCTAAGAGTCTCAATCTGTCGGAGCACTGTGCCTTGATAGTCTCCAAAGCACGTAGAACGACCGGGTTTATCCTCCGAAACTTTAAAACTACGGACATTAGAATGCGCCTTTTCAACATGTACGTTCGACCTGGCCTGGAATACTGTTCGTTTTTATTTAGTCTCATGCGTGCTACTAAGCGGAGGAAAATAGAATCCGTTCAACACTTTTTACCAAGAGAATTTTAGCCGCGGAACACCGACATTTGTCTTACCGAGAACGTTGCCTGCTTACAGGCCTTGATCCTTTATGGTTCGGTAGATTAAAAAGGAGACTATTTTTGCTATTTAAGCTCCTATATAATCACACATTTCACCCACACACCTCTTTAAAGCATCATATCCACCCACGACTTAACAGTCACCGTGAGGTTTTTTCATTTCTGCCTCTGGCACGTACTGTTAAATATCGTCAGTTCTATTCTGTAAGTGCAATTGCTGTTTGGAATAAACTTCCCATGAGTGTGAAAACTCTGCAAAATTATCCTGTATTTAAGAGAACTATTACTCGATTTTTGCATTCAGAAAATCTCCCACAAATTTTGGGTGCTGAAAACTCTGATCGACTGTACCGTAGCGATGGCGTTTGTGGTCTCTGAACACTATGGCCGGTCTCATCGGGGACAATTTCTTTGGCCAACTGTGACAGCTGTTTTTCGACGCCTCTATTTTGACTATCCCCAACCTCATGAAAGGAATTGGCGCATGGTAGTCTTCGATACCGTGCCGCCCATCCTTTCTTGACGGTCATAAGTTTGTCACCGGCAGTTTTTTTCTCCTGAACCCTCCAAACCATGAAAACCACCATCAACTATATTTTTATTCATCTGGATTTTTTTCACTGCTTGTTGGATTTGTGTTTAATCGCTTCCCTTGACAATGCCTGTAAACTGGCATTTAATAAATTAAAGTAATTTAAATTAAATTAAATCTACGACCCTTCATTGCCTGGAGCAAATCCATGCCGACTTGCTTGATATCTTGCCTTGGAGCTTAAAATGGCTAATGGAATCCTCTCCGTCTCAATGTCGCTACATGTGTTTCGGACCTGATAGGCTACGACAACCAGTGCTTTTCCAATGCATACCCATGACTGAATGTACCATAATCAAGGACTTCGGTTTAAGCTAAAAGAATAATCTCGATCTCCCGCCACACGCTGACAGACTTACTGTCAAAGCTGCCCAGCATTGGACGTTATTTCTTACCATTTCCGTCTTCCTGAAATTAAATTAAGACTTTTTCGTATGTTTGTACTTCCCGTTCTCGAGTATCGTTGTCCATTCTTCGGTTTGGTAAATGAGGCTAGTTGTTTCAAAAATTGCATATGTTCAAAAACACTTTACTAGAAGACTTTTATGTACGGAACATCCAAATATCTTCTACTCAGATAGATGACAGATAACAAATCTAAAATTTTATGGGTTCGAAGACTAGAAGCAGGCTTCTGTCTCCTCTTTCGCATTAATAATAGTTCAAATCTTCCTCGAATTTCAGCCCTCACCCGTAATAGTCGCCCATGCAATCTTCGCAATTCATTCTTGATCATACCTCCTCTCGCTTTCTCCACCTCTAAGCGCTCTCTTTTTTTCGTTTCCAGATATGCTTTCCTCTGGAATAACCTTCCAATAAATATAAGATCATGAGGAGGAGGGAAACTTATTGTCCTACACACTCTTAAGGGAAGGCTGCGCCCTTATCTGAATAGTGACTTGATTAAACTTTTATTTTACTCATCCTCCCCAGACAATTTTATCTATGACGCTGAGGAAAGGCGCCGCCATTAAATTGTCGTGTCCTCTCACATTTCCTGTTTTTCTGTGCAGTACCGTTTTCTGGGATCCCTCATCAGGAATGTTAATTTTTAGATTTTTTTATGTATCGCGTCCCTTACATAATGATATACATTTCCTAAGAAATTGTCTCAAATAAATAGCTTGACTATGTTGACGTAAACCTCCTAAGCAGCCTCAGTTTCGCCGACTACCGACGCTCATCTGAATTCCGCTCCGGGCACCGCGATTTCGAACCCTCGCCTCCCCCGTCATTGTTGAGTTTTGCCGCTCTTGAGGCCATCTCCACATTTCGACCCCAAGCCGCCTATCGACGTTCTTGGCTGAACCCTCTGTATTCGCCATCTACTAATAGTTTGGTCGAATCTCCCTTGCCTCCTCCTCGGCTGGATTTGTAGCGGATTGTGACCGATCAGGTTTGGGTTCCTCTCTCCTCACCACTTTGACGTGAATGGCCTTATCCGGCATATGAATTCTGCCTTGATTATGTCCGTTTCGGAGCTTTTACTCAAACCCGCATACAGGCCAGTCCTGTCTGACCCGCATACTTACACCTTAATGGAATCCGTTATACACTGTCACATGCAGGTCGGTCCTGCCCACCTTTTATTCTTTCATGAACAACGGTTTTTCCCCTATGATGTTAATCCAATCCCATTCATTTTGTTTTTTTTTCGATACGAGTTTTTCCCCTGCTCGCTCACTACTCTTCTTAACAGACTACCCATTCAACAAGTGGGAATTAGATATTCTACAGATTCTGTCTACCAGTTCTCATATTAATGCAAAAATTAATTCTTACCTGATATTATCGGATCCCCATGGGTCTTGAATAAAAATTAATATCATTACAGACAGTCTGAGCCTGAATTAAATATACTGCGATCTCTGAGAATCTTTTTTTTTGAAAGAATGCCACTCAAATGAATCAATTGCTTTTTTAATGGGGACTATTTTCATTTTTCGTGTACAGCTGTGTCTAACGAGCTGGCATGTAATCAATAGGGTCTCCAGGGCCTTGCTTATTATCCTTACACAATAAAGTGACATAAACCGAGCCGCATATGGACGACTATTCTGAAGATCTTGACTTCGATACATCTGGATTTGCAGGTGATATAAAATTTGGAAAAAATAATCTGTGCTTACGAGAAGCAGAAATTACAAGAAAAGGCTGATAACATGGCTAAATGGTCTACCTTTGACTTCAAACGTTTGATGTATCCAAAGATGTAGTCTTAAGCTTAAAATTTGGCGGAGAGTTTTCTCAAAAGACCAGGGCTGTTTAAATCGGACTCATTTTGAATACTGTGATATACACGACTACCTAGGTACCTGAACTGCTTCGAACTTTCCGCTTTGTGAATGATGCAGAGTATCCGTTCAAAAGACAACGAGCATCATGCACTTGATTGAGCGTGCTTTTGTAGTCTTCTCTCCCCACCATGGATAGGGTTATCAAGGGCGCCTGGGACACGACTCTCCTCTGCACACAAGTGATCCAGAGGCCTGGGTCACCGGGTGAAGTCGTCACATCATTTGCAAATCCACCGAATCAAATAATTTGTTTAAATCGGCTGAATATCAAGTCACACTTCTACCTTGGATGCCACTATCGTAGTTGAGACCTGTAACACATAGGCCATATTCCTCATTTAACAAACCAACCATTTTAACCCCTACGGTTTAATCGAAGTAACAGATCTTTTAAGTTTTGCTGGCTCGGATGCAGATGGAATACGTGATTTAATATTTTGCTTGTTCTATCTAAGTGAAAACACTTAGTTCATCATTTTGGAGTTAACCGTCCTCTGTCTTTTGCTTTAGTCAGACAGTCAGTGCATTTGAGAAAAATAGCCTCACGCCTTTGAACTCCCTATTTGAACATGAAATAATCGATTAAATAAGCAAAATGTGAAAAACTTACAGCATTAATTGAATGCAGACATTTATTCACATAGGTCACTGGTCTCATGGCTAAAAAGTCACAAAGTCCGCTTGTTGCTGTCGACATTTAAGTGTCTTCACAGACTGAGACATTAAAATTTTCTCAGGAAGGTTATTTCACGGTTTCAGGACATGTTTGGGAAAGAAATACTTTCTCACATTCAATCCACCCTGGAACACACGTAGGTTGAGGGGATATCCCCGGAGGTTACTCGTGGTGGCGAGTTCGAAATAGTCGTCGCACCGAAGGGCCCAGTCCACGCCAACCATGATACAGAAGGTTTATATTAAGTCTCCGTGCAACTGCCTATAACTGAGAGGATAGAGATTAGAGTTAGTTAGGCAGATCTCCCATGGCAGTGCAGCTTAATCCCTTTTTGATTTTGTTGCTAACCTCTGCACCCTTTCGAGCAGATTGGAATCCAGCTGCTTCCACGGTCTCCAGGCCTGAATTGCATATTCGAGATGCGGCCCTTGAAACGAGTCGAAGACTTTGGAAAAACAGTCTTCATCGACAACTGCGAATGCCCGCTTGGTGGCATATAGCTTTGATGTTGCGGCCTTGGCCGCCTTCCAACATTGTGAAAAACGGTTTAGGCTGTCCGAAACCCAGACTCCGGGATCTTTCTGTGTTTCTGCTTCTCGATGTGGCATTTCGTCCAGATGGTATTGCCGCGTACTACGGGTCTGAGTTCCGAGGCGCAGTATGGTACATTTGTATAAATCGAAAAACAAGAGCCATCGGCGGGACCACTCATCCAATTGACAAAGATTTACTTCGAAGTTAGTCTCATCGGCAGCATTTTGGATGGCTTTCGAGATTTGTATGTCATCCGCAAACATGGCACTATCACAGACCAACCCATCAGCAAAATCATTGATGAACACGAGAAAAAGTGTTAGTTCGAGCACTAAGCCTTGAGGGACTGCACCCTCTGCGAAGGTGCGCCTTGATTGCTGTTGTTCTACGCAGAAAATCTGGGAACAGCCTACGAGGAAATTGTCGATTCATTTGAAAAGTTTGCCGCAAGTGATTACTGCCAGACTCACATCTGTTCTCTACGCTACAGAAAGAACTGACTTTTATTTTTCCCTATTATCCCCTCCGCAAACCAGCCTGGTTTAAGTGGAACCTTGTCGCACAATACCCTGATTTTCATGTCATCTCTTGTTTAAACAAATAAAAAGGGGAAGTAAGTTGCCACCTGCGCGATAATGAATCGTTTTGTCAAATATAATTTTCCCGTCCCGGTGAAAAAAAAGCCTTATCCACCGGTAATTTTGGCAAAATGTGCAAGCTTTAGGATTCTGATGAAAAAGATGACGGATATCTTTCCTGTGCAAAGACGCAGGATATTTCTGAACACCTTAAGTCGGGGAATCTACCAGATGCCTGTCGAGCTATGGCAAAGCCCGAGATCTCAAGAGAACTCCAGTCCCTTAAAATGTTATATGAAGAATTCCCTCCAATTTACGAGACAAAAAATAATGAAAAGTACGTGACGACTGTTCGCGAAACGCAGTCCACTGTAATGGAACTGGGGACCTTAGGCTGTGATATAAAAATGGAGTTGTTGCAACGTGCGGCCCGTCGAAGGCCTCTTTGTCACGTACGAAAAGACATTCTTGATCAGACGGCGCGAGAACTCTTGAGACAGGTGAGGTAGCAATAGACAACATTTGGAGGAAATACGTGAAACCATTACTCTCGGAGAATTGGGAAAAAACCTTTTTAAAACAGATAGACAGAGTCTCCTTCATTTTTTGCATTTAGCCACTTCAACGTTATATTTCGCCTTGTTTGTCAAACGTGTGCATGGTCTAGGTTTTACCACAGATGCATCATAAAACACAAAACTAATATCATTTACGTACGCAAATGATAAATACGTATTTATCCGTCTAATTAAGTTCAACATTCTGATAACAACAATTGCTGCCGCTTTTTAAGCAATGCCCGTTATCACTCTGATATTCCCGTATTATCTCATTAAAGGCCGCGTACCCGAAAATAATTTTGCGAAAATCATGAACGAGATGTAAACTCCAGGTTAAATTAATGAAAACGGTAAAAGTACGAAGTGTATAAAGCTATACAATGATCCATATGTATAACTGGTACAGTCCGCAAACCTATTCTTGTGACCGTTCCATGCTTTTGGTCAGCCATGTATTATTGAGACAGAGACGAACATATTGAAAGATGGTCGAACGCGAAATTATCAAACTTGCGCATTTAGATGAAGCTATAGGTGAATGCTATAAAAATCGTTCCAAATCCTTCGGTTTAAAGGGATTGTAAGCTTTATTTGTTGTTTGTAAAAATCCACAAGAAAACAATAAGCAAAACTCTTGCTATTTCATGGATGTTTGAAAAAATTAGAAGATTACCAATACTTGAATTTTGTCCTTATAACTTACAATGAGGTGTGCAACATCTGGTCTAGGCATGATCCTGCACAACAATGCCCATAAACGCTTATGATTAATTTCCGTTTCTTCGAATATAAAAACTTTCTAATTTCTAAGGGACGTGTAACTTAAAACAACAGTTTTCTAGATTTTGCTTAAGACAATATTTATTCACTGGCGCATTGTGGTGACGCATTTGGCTCATTAAAGCAAAGGTTATCTGCTGCTTCGTAAGCATTTACTAACTACTCAGCACCCAACCACTGTTGTGCGGTAGGTTGTCTCACATATGAGCTATATGAAATATTATCGTCCCTTTACTGTAAATCCCCGTTTTTAAGTCTTAATAAGATAAGTACAGATTTTATTGCAAGCTGAAATGTTGCGAAAGAATTTTCCGCATTGAGAAGTTAGAACTCGAAGTTTTAATAAATATTGGCATTTATAAATAAAGGAAACGGTTGACATTTCTGTAATTGCTACTATTTAAAACTTTGCCTGCAAAAAGGATAAATTCTTCCATACTTGCCCCTCTCTTTCTTGTCCACTGTTACACAGTCAATTTATGTCGGTCATGTTGAGATACTCGTAGAAAAGTAATTTTATAACAATAAGGAGCTTACAGACGGTTGAAAAAATATTTGCAACAATCAACTTTCCTATTCAAATAGACGATTAACTAAAACATTCTTTCGAATTATCCCAGAAGAAAATGTCGAGAACTCGCTATCACTAGCTCTCCAGGCAAGCCGCAGCGTTGGAAGGACAGTTGGGGAGATCTACCCTTTTCCTGTCTTCAGCGGGAGAAAGTAAAATATGTAGTGAATTCTGAGCGATGAACATCATACTATCGTAGACGCAGGTCGATTTTAAAGTAGACGCAAATAAGGTCTTCAGTTAACAGATTGCTGATTGTAAAGTTGATTATTGTAAAAAAATTTAAATATGTCCTAGTGAAATCCGCTATAATGTCATACAGAGCTATGCAGACCATAAAAATGTTTCACATTTTTGCCTTAGACTTAGCGTTCAACATTAGTTAAGTTGCCGAATGGCTCAAATATTCTACACAATTACCCATTTAAAGCTCATTATCGAATGCCCAGAAAGGGCAGTGCTATTCAAGCAATGCATTCAGGAGGCAGAGAAGACCTTCGAGGCGATTGAAGTTCTGTTACATTTCAACGATGCCTTTATGTGTCGAAAATACCTCAAGGCAATGCATATTGCAAGTGAACAGAACAAAAAGGTAAGCAAAAATATTTGTTAGGACGATTCTACAAGTTAAAAGACTTATCGTTTACATAATTTGACTCATGTGAATAGAGCGTGCATGACATTTCTATATGGTACGATGTACGATCATGCTGATTATATTTGAAAGTGGTGACGGACGGAATTAATTCATTACCTCCTTTATTAGGTTGACAGACGTCATAAAGTAAACTTCTTTAGAAATGCAATGTCGACACTCAAATTAGCACTCAAAAAGTGCAACAAATTAGTGGTGAATTTGGTTGATTCGATAATGTCACGTTGCACCCCTCTAAACTGTTTTGGGTTTTTCTCTATGAAATTTCAGAATGAATTGTGCCGTAATCTCGGTCTAATTGTAGTCAGAAGCATTAAATAATGTTTAAAACTACTTGCTCTAAAAGAATTTATGGCAAAAAACAAGGTGTAGCCGAGTGTTTAATTTACGCATGTAATGTCCATAGTCTTTCTGCATCTCAGACTAAAATCAACTGTACACCGATACCCGTTTCTTAAGTTGACTTAAAATTTTAAAATTTCAAAGGCAAATAAGAACAGCTCTTTTTAGTAAGTCAGCTGCAACCTATCGCGTGCAGTGCTTCAAAATCACTTTTTTGTTCTTCAACGCTATATACTGATTTAGCATAAACATTTCAGCTAAATAAACAGGGTTTCTAAAAATTGTAACTGAAATCCAAAGAACGGGACGGAAAAACATTCCAAAAATACTCGCAGGATGGCCAAACGGAGATAGACAAAATAATAAAAGTCCACCTACTCACAGGTTTACAATGTAACTAACTGTTGACATTCGCGAACCCTGCAGATTAAAGAACTCGAAGAGACCAATAAGATTCTTAAAAGACAAGTTTCTTTGCTGAAAACGACTGCGGAACAACTTGAAAGGAAACATGCGGACGAAAAGACGAAGGGAGAACTTGTAAGGAAACAGCAGCTGCAGTTTTACAGAACATTGGGTGAGCAGCTAAAGGTGAGCTCTGGTTTGACACGCAGTTCGCACCTTTCTTTCACCACTTATACGCATGAAAATAATTGTGGTTACTCAGTCAATTTCAGTACAACATTTACATGTGGTTTTATTTGAATAACTTTCAGGCCCAGCTGGACGCCGCTGTTGCGCCAGAAAAAGAACAGTGAATCAGCCGGATTATAGGATATGTCATCGAATGTAATCACATTTAGGTGACCATTTCTGGAACACTAAAAAGACCACCACGGCTTTCACTGGACATCTGTGGTTAAGCTTGAAGTGTTCAGTCATTAGGGTTTTTCTTCCTTAAAAAATAAAATGACTCTCCACGAGTTTTTGACAAAATTCTTCCGCTTTCTCCGTATTGTAAAAATCATTCTGAATGTGTTGCAGGCCCAGACATCAAATAATTCATCTAACAACGCAATCCAAGGTGAGCTTGATGGTTCCTTACGAATCTAAGTATTATTAACTTGTATTTCTGAATTGATAATGTCCATATAATCTAGCTTATCAAGGAGATGAAGCCTAGTGGCAGTGTGAACTACCTACCCCTATAATGGTTAGTCCGGCCACAAAAGACGAACAGCACGACTCACTCCAGCCTTCATTCTGAACGTTTGGTGGGAGGAGGTAGCATTAATGTAGAAGATGACTGGCGTTATGCGTGTCATGAAGTTATGCCACTGATTGGCGTGACAAGTTTCGAAATCCAGTTGACGACGAACGTCCTAACGCCCGTCATTTTTGCTCATCTGTGATTAGAGTGAGGTAGAAATAAACCGGTTGTTTTGATTTTATTAAGAACTGCAAAATAAATTTCAGTAGCTGCGTTCTTATCATAATTTCATGCCTTCAAATGAATATATACCGGGATTAATTAACTATCGATCAAAATGGTCTCAAAAATACAAAGTCACAGTTAAGTCGAATAATTCGATAGAATGTTGGGGATATCACAGTATATGTTGGGGACCGTGTTTCCTCATTGCTTTCTTTTAGTGCCAGTCACTTTAACAAAGGCGGTTCTTGATCATCATTAAACAAGATGTCTGGATTTTTAAAGTCCAGCGAAAAGTACTTCACAGTTTTTTCTTAAACGCTCAAATTAAATGCAGCCAAGAAAACTGCAAAATAATCTTAAGAACAAAGACACTAACCAATGCAAGTCTTTCTGCTGTGGTAGAATGTCTAACATTTAGAGGTGAAAAGTGGTCACATTCCACTTCCTCTTGAGAAAGCATGCATATGGCGGCTTTTGTAAGCTGTCAATACTTGAAGACCAGCAAAGCCATTAAAAATGGAAAATGCTCATTTCGAAGGCGCAATATGGTGCGATCTTTAGACGACGCACATTCGGCACTTTCGAGATAAATAAAGGTTTTCAAGATTAATTTTATTACAGTGGATTGCATGTCATAGTGAGGTTCACCTGTAACTTAGCTTATAATGGCTTAACTGACGAATGTGCTTGCAATGATAGCCCAAAAACGACAATGACCCCTTGCCAAAACAAAAGGTTCTTGACAACTGCGGAGGGAAAAACAACTGGAAACTGCGGTGGGAATTGCAGGACTTCTGTCCAATGACAAAACGGATTTGTTCACTGTCCCTCAAACCTGACGTAGGATAGTGTCACTGAAAGTCTTAACTGAGCAAGGGGCTTGAACATGCTGTTTTACGAATCTTGTCAGCGACAAGAGTTTGGGTGTCATTTTCGGTAAGTATTGTTTTGCATGGATAATGCAAGAATAGGTTGGCAGCTCAGATAGCCTCCATTTGCGTTTCCTCCTTGCCCTTGTGGAGCAGGTTAAACTGGTCGCACGAGTAGGCGTCTATCCGAAAGAATGTAAGAACACTCCCCAGCATGGTCGAAAATAGGCATTTCAATGTACATTTAATGAGGAGCAGCGGCAAATTGACAGGTACGATGCTACAGTGCGGGACCGATCTCATGAAATGTTTGCTGAAATTCTGAAATGCGTCTTCGATTAGGAAGGATTACATAGGTAGGGTTGTAATAATGCTCATCATGGGGCATAATGCTATGGTATTTCGGACTTGTCAGGATGTCGGCTTTTGAGTGCACTTCTTTTTGACCTTCAGAAACCACACTCGATAAAAATAATTACTTAAGTGGCATGCATTTTTCACATTGATTTTCGATGGTCCTATGAATTCAAATATATTTTATAGAAAACATGCACAAAGAATATGCTTTCTTTCATTCTTTTGGTAGAAAATCACATTATCTTCACGTTTTATACTCGAGGAAATGGTGTCTTTCAGTTTTAAGAAGGTTTCTAATTATGAAACGTTTAAGACCGTGTGATGTGCATACATACAGAATCGCACATGCCCGTTTACCGGTGCTCCTCCTGAAACGTAAATAAGTCAGCAAACATTACAAAATTTCTTTGGACTCCACATGGTATCATCTTAAAGGCATATGGAAATATATTATTTTCCTTACGTGGATACCATGTGCCATGTAGACTGGAATCCCTAAACGCTAATGCAACAGTTGATCTGGCTAAAAACTATTCGCGAATTGAGGAACTGTTTCAAAACCTGAAAATACGCTTTCTTCGAGTATAAACGTGAAGATATTGTGATTTTATACCAAAAGAATGCAAGAAAGCATATTCTTTGTGAATGTTTTCTATAAAATATATTTGAATTCATAGGACCATCGAAAATCAATGTGAAAAATGCATGCCACTTAAGTAATTATTTTTATCGAGTGTGGTTTCTGAAGGTCAAAAAGAAGTGCACTCAAAAGCCGACATCCTGGCGAGTCCGAAATACCATAGCATTATGCCCCATGATGAGCATTATTACAATCCTACCTATGTAATCCTTCCTAATCGAAGACGCATTTCAGAATTTCAGCAAACATTTCATGAGATCGGTCACGCACTGTATATGGATGGACATTGCATGGTCTTAAAAATCTCATAATTAGAAACTTCTTTAAAACCTACTTATACTCCTTCGAGTATAGAATATAAAGATGACGTGATTCTCTATCAAATTACAAAAATGCAGCATTTTTTGCTCGGGATTTCTATAACATATATTTGGATTTGCAAGGCCGTAAAAAATCAATTGGAGCAATGTATGTCACTTAAGTAGTTACTTTTGTCGAGCACTGCTCTTACGGGGGATTGAAAACAGCGTATTAAACAACTAACATCGTGACGAGTCCAAAATATTATAGGAATATGCCTCAGTAATTCATCCTAATCGAAAACTCATTTCATAGTTTCAACCAACATTTAATGAGATCGGTCATTCACTGTATGTCTGCCAACTAGTCTTCTGAATCCTTCACTGGGAATTTTCACAACTCCTATTAATTTCACGTCTGTGGACGTAGGTTAAATAGTTCGATCGTTTCTTGGATACCAAGTGAATACAGCGTCCTTGACCATCCTTTCGGTGACAGCATGAAATATTTTTGATCCCCCCCTATCCCCAAAGATTACTGTTATAATACATTGCATATTTGCCATGCGCACCTGACATGGCTTGCGCATCAAATTTGCAATCTATCCGAAATTAAAATCTTTTCTATTTGGGGAAGTTTTGTCTACATATCGTAGTCATGAGGTAGGCACATTTCTGACAAGTTGGAAAAAACCAACTCTCGCCGTGGATAACTTTGTTGAGATGATTATTTAAAAATGACTCAGCCCTTCTACTTACCTTACTAAATAGTTTCTCTTTTATTCAAGCGTTGCCTTATAATTTTGTGGAAACTTTCAAAACGCGAATAGCACAGTTTATCTTGAGTGATCAGCTTATAAAAAATCAGGTAGGATGTAGCGCGCATTCCGAAAATTATCTCCATTCCAGGACACTTTTGGAGTAGTTCTGCGAAAATTCCCATTTTACCATTGAGGAGTCAGTTGGCAAACATATGTATTCGATAACGTTTCATCAGGCCGGCCTCATCATCACGGGCCTGATGATGAGTTACCGAAAACATATGTTCGCCAACTGACTTTTGGAGTAGTTCAAAGGAATTTCTCACTGAGCTTGTTTAATGTTCAAATATGGTTTAGAGCCTATTTTTCACTAGGCGAAAGCCCAATTTTATGAGTATTTTCCAAAAGCCTAGTATATTTTACAACTAAAAGGACATATTTCATCTGTTTGTAGCAGACTCGAGCACAGTTTTCTCCTGGTTGGTAAAATGATACACTTCAAGTTTGACTAACTTTGGACCTGTAATCTCGCATTCCCTAGTGCCACTTTAACAAAGAGCAATAATGACTCGTCTTTTGGTCTTGTATTTTCTCTCGAACTTTGTTATGGACTCGTATTTTTTCATGAAACATGCACTAAAATATGTCGCCTGATTTGAACTAGAAAGTTACGTAACTGTGCTGGCAGCCTTTTGCCATAATGTGGGCACAAAAAATAGAAGTACGTATAAAACAGCAGTTATTTGTGAAACCAAAAAGGAGAGTTGGAATTGTTTGGCAGGAAGGAGCAGAAAATATAGTCATTTAGAGTCCAGAACAGGCAGGTAAACATTGTATTCCGATTGCGGTTGGTCTGTTCCCATTCACGTACTAAATATTTATCCCTCCTAACCAGTCAAGTATTCTCAATACCTATCCAGTTGTCAACTGGGGCGCCGCACTTAACAGAAGCCGAAATAATTTGTAGCCTGACGAAAGTTTAATGTAAAATTCCCGTGAAGACATTTTTCCTGTATCTATAAGATGTTCCTGACTTATATCATGGTACATATGCCAAAATTACATCTGGATTTTAATTGAACTTCATACCCATACCGATCAGCACGCTAGTGAAATCCAATGTTCTACGCAAAAAGAACAGGCCGTCTTTTCATGTCGATAGTCTAAACTCCTGAAGCATCGATCACACTTTCTCTAGCATACACTCAAGTCGACATTCGGTGCGCATCATATAAAACTGTCCACATAAAGAAGAAAATATGAATCAATCATCTTAAATGATTTTTAAGACTTTACATCCACTAACTGTTATCTACCAGGCTTTAACCCAATTATGAGTCGTCATTTCAACTCCAGCCCATTCTGTGGTATAAACATCGCAAAGTGGTTTGTAGGGAGATACGACAGCTCAAAAATTAATTGTTTCAGCATACAAGATAACGCTGAACTGGAGATGG